CCTCCCCCTGGGAGGGAGGGGGTTATATGTAAATCCTTGTGATCGGTTCCCCTTTTCTCCCCCGACTTTCCCCTCCTGTTAACATTTGGGTCTTATATGGAGAAAAAAGTTACTACCCCCAATATTAAAAGTCAAATGAACAAAATCATGCTTAATGGCACCCTTGGTTTATATTTTGACTCACTCTTCTTTTTCAGTTCAAATGGATTAAAATAATAGGAACCACATTGAGTAGTGTTCCATATAGCACATTATCATTTTATCAAAGTTTCTTAAAATCAAAGAAGAATTCTTTTTCATTAATCATTCTATTAATTTCATTAATCATTTTATTGGGGTCTCTTACATATCTTATAACAATCCAGAATTCATTTGAATTAAGCACACTTGTACATATGTTGCCATCAACATTCTCAAAGAAGAATATTGAAGCAAATCTTTGTAGCTCAGTGCATTGTTTTTGTATTTAGTGAAAATCAAAATTTTATTTTAATGATAGTTCAGTGATACTGTGTTACATACAATAAGCGAAATAGTCTTCATATATTATAGATAGGAGTTTTGCTTATTAAAATTAACCTTGTAAAAATACTGTCCATCTTTCTATTACAGTTCTGGAAATCTAGCCCCAGTATTCTGGCTGTTCAGAGATCGGCAATGCTTAAGAAGCAGCAGCAGCAGCAACCGCAGCAGCTTCAAGTATCTAATAGTGGATCGGAAGAGGTCAGTTTTGACAATGAGGTAGCGTTTTAAAATTAGACAATACCTGGTTTAAATAAGTAGGTCCTTATAAATTCATTTTTAAAAAACGTGCTTTGAAATATCAGATAAAAAATAGCTATACTTAAATATGCATATTCTCTTGGAGTGGAATAGTGGCAAGCTTTTATGCAATTATTCCACTTTTAGGGGTCAATCTAAATTAAGCAACAAGAAATTTCTGTGCATTTGCTCCTCAGAGCAAGGCTAGAAATAAACTAAATGGAAATGTTAGATAAACATATGCACATTAAGAAATATACCATTAAATCACTGGTATAGAATAATAAGTATCATCAACATATTTGGGAAAAAAGGGTCTGCAACTAGAAAAAAGGTTGTTGCTTTGCAGACATACACAAATCCACATGTTGGATGAAAGGCGTCAAGAAACTAAACCGAGAAGAAAAGAGAAAAATGGCATATTAATCAGGGCTCCCTGTATTCATACCATGCAAATATAGTTTCTATGATGATAGATTTTAAAACCTTAAATATTTGATCAAGGGCACTGTAACCGAGAGAAATTACTGAAACCTGATTGAAGTCGCAGCATGAGTGTGGAACGAGGAAAGTAAAAAGAAATAGAGGAAAGAACAAGGAGACAAAGAGCATTTATATAAGTCTAAATACAGGCATGTACATATATAAATATGATTATATGTAACGATAGGGAAATAGATCTATGTACATATATCTATAGGTTTAGTATTATAAGTAGCAGATGGACATCTAGCCTCTACTGAAGTACTCCCTAAATGCAAGAACACTTTGTTCTAATAACCTGGCATTCCGTGATGCTCACCTTCCCGACACATTCGCTGAAGACAATATGGATGCATAGAAATTGTGGTGAAGAAAGCTAATGGTGCCCAGCTATCAAAAGATTAAAATAGAGTCTAGGTTCTTAAAGACTTGAAGATAAACAAGTGGCCATCTAGCTAAGAAGCAAAAAGCCTACATGGAAGAAGCACACCAGCCTGTGTGATCATGATGTGTCGGTGGGATTGGGTATCAGGCATCAAAGACCCAGAACAAAGAATCACATCAATGTGAATAATGGGGAGTGCAGAGTGGAGACCCAAAGCCCATCCGTAATCAATTGGACTTCCTTTTACAGAAGGGTCACAAGGAAGAGACGAGCCAGTCAGGGTGCAGTATAGCACCGATGACACACACAACTTAGCTCCCCCCACCACCACTATTATGATCTCAATTCTACCTTACAACTCTTGCCAGACTAGAGCATGTACACAGGTACAGAAAAGAGCTGGAAACACAGGGAATCCAGGACAGATATATCCTCAGGACCAATATTGAGAGTAGCTATACCAGGAGGAGAAGGTGTGGGGTGAAAAGGGGAACCGATCACAATGATCTATAAAACCCCTTCCCAGGGGGTGGACAACAAAAAAGTGGGTGAAGAGATGTTGGACAGGGCAAGATATGGCAAAATAATTTATAAATTACCAAGGGTTTATGAGGGAGGGGGCAGCGAGGAGGGAGGGAAAAAATAAGCTAATGCCAGGGGTTAGGTGGAGAGCAAATGTTTTGAGTATGATAAGGGCAATGAATGTACAAATGTACTTTACACAATTGATGTATGTATGGATTGTGATAAGAGTTGTATGAGCCCCTAATAAAATGATTAAAAAAAAGACATGACAAAATAATTTATAAATTATCAAGGATTCATGAAGGAGGGAGGGTGGGAGAAGGATGGGAAGAAATGAGCTGATACCAAGGGTTCAAGTAGAAAGAAAATATTTTGAAAATAATGGTGGCAACAAAGTTGCAAATGTGCTTGACACAATGGGTATATGTATGGACTGTGATAAGAGCTGTATGAACCCCCAATAAAATAAAAATTAAAAAAACCCTTAAATAAAACACTGACATTGATACTTAACCTAATACCACTGGCTATCTTAATTTATAATAAAACAAGTTATTAATTACTCTGTAAGCCAACTAATGGTATAAATTAAAAAATGGAAGGAAAACAAAGGCTTTAAAGATACGGTATTAAAATGAAAATTTGAGATAGTATAGCAGATAAGACTGATAATTACTATATTCTAATCGTCAGTGGTCCTATACTTTGCTTTGCAGGAGTCCTCTAGCAGTCAGGATTCTGATGACTCATCAGATGAGATCAAGAGGAAAAAGCATAAAGAGTATGTCATTTTGCTTGAGTCACCCTCTCAGGAGAACCCTAATGCTTTCATATTTCTACTTTCATGGAAATTGTTAACCAAAGTAGATTTTTCTAAATCCATGCCGCCTATAATTTAATTTGTCTTTATCTTTGAAAAACATGAAATGTTTAAAATTTAAATTAGTCATCATATTAGAATGTCTTCATTTTGGGAACTGGGTTATAAGGATGTTTGGGATTCTGATAATTTGTTAATAGCTCTCTTTATGACATAGCTGCATGTGAAAATAAGCTTCATCTTTAGAATTCTTTTAGCATTTCACTTTAATTTCTTGAAGGCCATGATCCAGAAGAATAATTCCTATTCTGAATTCATGCACTTAGGTGGCCTGTTTTTGTTGGTTGCTGTTTTTTTCCCCTTGTTTCTTGAGATACATTACTCCATGGCCCTACCTCTTATAGTTCTATTTATTTTTTATATCTAGTATGTTTCACTTTGATATATTTAGGTTTGGATTTATTTATTCCATCCCAAAAGATTCATGAATCTTTAATGTGAAGGCTCATATTTTTAGTTTATGAAAATTCATTCATTTTACCTTTGAGTACTTATGTATATCTTTCTGGCAGTTCTATTCTCTAGGAAAATATTAGAACATCTTACTGCATCATGTTTTTGTGTCCTGTTTTTGCTATGCTGGGAAGCTGAGTAATTTCCTTAGATTTGTCTTCAGTTTCACTATATTTCAACTTTTGTGTCTTACCAGCTATTTAACTCTTTCACTTTGGTGAAATATACTTAGCACTGTCTCTGGCAAAAATATATTTTTAAAAGTAATAGAACCACAAAAGCAATAGTATATAATTTTGTATACTAAAATTATAATTCAAATAGGTGTTGTCTATTTGCTACTTTCAGCCTACAGATGATGAAATGACTCAAGATAAACAGGAATTTGCTTTTGTAATATAAATCAAATTTTATCACATGTACTTTAATCATTGTAGTGATATTTTGTGTGAGAGATGCAGAGCACTGGAGCAGAAACAGTGATAAAGCTGCTGAAAACAGACAGTGTAGACAGTGAAAACAGGATATGGTATAGATTCGAGGACTTCACAATATTCATGGGGTAATTCCCTATCTTTTAAATTCCTTTCTCCAACTTTTTGAAAGCCTCTTTTTAGACTTCATAGGAAAATATTGTAGATGGCAGTACTTTTAAATCTACAAGTCGATTGGAATTAAATAAACTGAATGTAGTTGTTTGCCGTTTCCATTCACCCTTCGTTCCTGCCCTTTCTGCACTAATAAGCTTTATTCTTGGGCTAGTGCTGCCATTTTGATCTCATATGGCTGATTCTTCTAGGGAGTGAATAGTTCCAGCATAGATTAATAAATGCTTCCAGTGCTTCATCAACTTGTTGAAATATTTTCATTGGTAATCTGTCAATTCTTGGAGCATACTTTTGAAATATCAGGGATTATAGCTTCCAGCATCAAAGGAACATGCTAGTCATCACAGTGCAACAGATAGAGAAGTGGTGAACCTTTATACAGTCATGTCTAAACTATTAAGCAACATAACTCACATAGATAAATAACTCCTTACAGTGATTCATCAGCTGTGGAGACAATTTTCCATTGGTGTTCTATCAATTCTTGAAGCCTTGTTTTTTGCCAGGGCTGTCAGTGTAACCTGGACTACGCTTTCACTACTGTTGGTTCTTGATCTTTTGCACTCTTGAAATGGTTGGATGTTGACTAGTTCTTCGTGGTAACAGTGACAGTGTATTCTTTCTATCTTTGAATGCTTCCTGCATCACACAATATTTTGCCCATAAACTCTCTCAATATTAGAACTTGACATGTGGCAATTTCCCTGTTTGTTATATACTGTGTGTGCTTCCCTTTTGGGTTTCTCACTGGGCACATTTCATCATAATACTTTTGTTTTCTCCAGCTCCCTTGGGAGGTTTTCTGTCCCCAACTCTGTTCATCATTTCTTCCACTTGCTTAGCTACAGTAGAATCAAGAGCAAGTTTCAGATTCTTTTCTGACATCCAATTTGATCTTTTCTTTCTTTCTTGTCTTTTTATTGACCTTTTGCTTTCTTCACTTATGATGTTCTAGATATTATCCCTTAGCATCATGGTTTTCTGTCATTTGTGTTCAGTATAATGCAATACATTGAAGGTAGTGTTCAATGTTTAAGAACACACCCTAGAGTTAGGAAATAAATCTAATAAAACTATTTTTATGGGGTTTTTACTTATTCTACAGACATTTAATAATTCTAGTATAAGTGAAAATTGGTTTGATCATTTTTGTGTTATTTGAGACAAATCGTACGGTGTAAATATACTTAAGGATACATACATACATACATGTACCTATATAATACAGATATACTTTTTTTTTTTAATACAGTGAAGATTGGCAAATGTCTGGTTCGGGATCTCCATCTCAGTCTGGTTCAGACTCAGAATCTGAGGAGGAAAGAGACAAAAGCAGTTGTGATGAAACGGAATCTGATTATGAACCAAAAAACAAAATTAAAAGCAGAAAACCTCAGATTAGGTAAATGTGGTATATACTTAGTTTTGAACTGAAAGCCCTGATTACAGAAAATGTTCATTCTTTTCATATACATGTTTTAAATAGAATCGTGCTTTGTGCCAGTGCTTCTGTAAAATACTTATGTTCTCTTCTCCCTAACAGTAGATCTAAGTCAAAAAATGGAAAGAAAATTCCTGGACAGAAAAAGAGACAGATTGATTCATCTGAAGATGATGATGACGACGACGATTATGAGAATGACAAAAGAAGTTCTCGCCGGCAGGCCACTGTGAATGTTAGTTATAAGGAAGACGAGGAAATGAAAACAGATTCTGATGATTTACTGGAAGTCTGTGGAGAGGATGTTCCTCAAACTGAAGAAGAGGAATTTGAAACAATAGAAAGGTTTATGGATTGTCGGATTGGGAGAAAAGGAGGTAGTCTTAAAAAAATTACATATTATTTGACTAAGTAATATCAGAATAATTTAGATGTTTTTTGATAATTTTCCGTTTTGAAAACTAAGAGGATAGGTTTTCTTTTGCTTTCTTTATATGTGTGCTTAGTTTTACTGTCGTCCAGAAAATATCCACTTAACCTACTTAATATATTGTGAATAATTTTTAAAATCCTAACTTGCCTATTTGAACTTGTGTGGTTGAATTTTTATTTTAAAACCTGTAGTTTCCCAAACTAGTTTTTGGACATTTTATTTTCTTAGTGGGAGAAAAATGGGTTTTCCCGCTTGTCAAGAGTTAAAAGTCTTGAAACTCACAGGGGCATTTCTACCCTGTCGTGTAGGGTCTCTGTGAGTTAATATTGATTCAATGGCAATGAACTTAGAATTTTTGGAATAAAGTTGTAGTAGTGCTAGAGGGGTAATGTCATACAAATCTGTCTTGTTTGATGCGGTTAACGAGAGTCATTAGTAACACAAAGTTGATTCCCATGAGGTGAAGGCCCACCATACTTCCACTATTCAATTTACCAATTAGTATAACACAGCTCTCATTAAAGCGGTACAACATCAGGACATATGTCAGCAAAGTCTGCCTTCAATGAAGAAGACTTCCTTCTCTTGGTGGCAGAACAGGCATTTTCTCATCCTCTCAGAACAGCCACAGGCACCTCTTGGCCCTGCTATCAGCTTTTGAAAACCATGTTGCTCAAGCCTTTTAGAAGCTGTTTGTCTTTAGTGCTACAGCCTTTGCAGGACCCCATGTTAAGCTCTTCTACACCCCAGCTTCCTTTATCTTCTCTCTCTCTTTTTTTTTCCCCTTCTCTTTGTCTGCTGCTTTCAGTGTCATAAACATTTAAGTTGGCTGCTTAAATGTACAAGTCCCTTGTCAATTTCCAGGCATGGCATTCCCACCAGTCCTACAAACTGACCAGTCGCTCAGTAAGCTACAGGCATTTCATTTTCTGTCTGCATAGTATAGGCTCTGTCTCACCTTGTTTGTGTAATCTATGGACCAGTCCCTGCAATATGCATAGTATTAAAGGTAGGTCTCAGCCAAGGTCCAGACACAAAATAACAAGATAAATAGTTTATAGTTTATCCCAGAAATGTCAGCCTAGCAAAAGTAACAAATTCTCAGAAAATTAAGACAAAGTTTACTAACTCCTCATGGGTTAGGGGGAAATGTGTCAAACATTTTTTCTAAAGAAGGCAAAAGACCACCTAAGGCACTGGGTTACAACTAACTCCTTTGGGGAGACCCTTTCACAGGGGTCGCCTGATTCATAATAGTAGCAAAAATACAGTTATGAAGTAGCAACAAAAATAATTTTATGGTTCGGGTTACCACAACATGAGGAACTGTATTAAAGCATCGTGGCATTAGTAAGGTTGAGATCCACTGACCTAAGATGTAATTCATTTTACCACACTATTTCAAATATGTAGGTTGTTACTTTTAGTAATTTTGACACACAGGTTAGGATGATTGTTTTAATTTACCAACCAATCATTGAAATATTTATGTAATTTTTTTTTTATTAACTTCAAGGTGCCACTGCCCTTTTGTGATTTTTCCTAATCTTTAAATTAAGGAAATCAAATTAGTTCTGCCGTTCTAAATGTTTGTGAATATTAACTAACAATACGTTGAGCTTCTTTTCTGTATGTATGTGTAATGAGATTTCCCACAAGTACCTTTTTGTACTTGAATTTTTTTGTTTTAAGGAAAGATTGCTATTAATATTTAATGGAAGGACTCATGCTTTTATTTCAGCTACTGGTGCTACTACAACCATCTATGCAGTTGAAGCAGATGGTGACCCAAATGCAGGATTTGAAAAAAATAAAGAACCAGGAGACGTCCAGTATTTAATTAAATGGAAAGGGTGGTCCCATATTCATAATACTTGGGAGACAGAAGAAACCCTTAAGCAGCAGAATGTTAGAGGAATGAAAAAATTGGATAATTACAAGAAAAAGGACCAGGAAACAAAAAGATGGTAAATACGGTTTTTGGTGTTTTTTTTTTAATCCTTTTATTGGGGGCTCGTACGACTGTTTCCAAAATCCTTACATCCATCCATTGTGTCAAGCACATTTAGACATTTGTTGCGCTCATCATTCTACTTGAGCCCTTGGTATCTGCTCATTTTTCCCCTCCCTCCCCGCCCCCTATGGTTCATTTCTTACTCAACTTTTAAAAATTGTTCAAAGATAATTAGTAAACTTTTTGTTAATGTCTTGATCTTGGTTTCTGTCACCCAGTTAAAACTATTAGATGTACTATACTTAAACCTCTCCTTAATAACAGTTACACAGACAGTGCCTTAAAAAATGTTTTTATATCAATATTAATGAAGTTTATCTTTTATTTGTTTCAGATTCTTCGTTTTTCAAACTTAGCTCACAGCTACTAGTTTGATTTTTTTTCTTTTGCAGATAGTGTTTTAGGAGATGGCTGGTTTATGGGAGATTTTTAAACTCTATTTCTGGATTAATAAATATAATCTTTCAGGTTGAAAAATGCTTCTCCAGAAGATGTGGAATATTATAATTGCCAGCAAGAACTTACAGATGATCTACACAAACAGTATCAAATAGTGGAGCGAATAATTGGTTAGTAATGATTCAAATTTAAAAATTTTTTGAAATCATATGAAAACATTGTAAATGTATTGTTTACACATCAGATAGAGCAGTTTGCTCTGACAAAAATAGATGGTAATCTTTACTTGTTTAACATTTAGGAATTAATCCTTTACTGAGATTAAATGAATAAACATGTAAAATAACAAGTTCTTAATTTTTATATTGCAGCCCACTCCAATCAGAAGTCAGCAGCTGGTTATCCTGATTATTATTGCAAATGGCAGGGCCTTCCATACTCAGAGTGTAGCTGGGAAGATGGAGCTCTCATTTCCAAAAAATTCCAAGCACGTATAGACGAGTACTTCAGCAGGAACCAGTCAAAAACAACTCCCTTCAAAGATTGTAAAGTGAGTGCTTTCATTTTTATTTATTTATTGAAAGTGTGTTTATTCGTCATAAATATTAGAAGTTCAAATAGAGATTTGGAGTCTCATTTGAGATAGGATAAAAGAGAATCTGCTTGGTTGATGAATATTACAGGAAATGGTGTTCCTGTAATTGCTAAAGGATTTTTCTTAAGTGTGAAATGCTGCCTTTTGACTTGTGGAGAGTGGAATTAGGCCACAACGATATAATTGGTGACGGTGGTTGTGGGAAAGGAGTAGGAAAATATCTTGGAAGCTAACTGCATACTTGGATTAAATAGAAAGCTAAGCCAGTTTTTTTTTCTAGGTTAAGTGCTTATGTAACTCAACTAAGCTTATTTTTTGCTGTGATGGTAAGATACCTGAGGGGTCTGTGTATTTTAACAGTAGCTTGGGTACCTTATTTTCTTCTTGAATTCTTGTTACAATTGTAGAAAAGATTATATTCTCAGCTATATTTAGAGTCTTGAATATGTAGATTTGAAATTAAAACCTCGAAAATTATGTTGAAAGTTTATATTTTATTATTTCTTATACTTCGTAATTATACATCATGATATTTATTTCTACCAAAGGTATTAAAACAAAGACCAAGGTTTGTAGCGCTGAAGAAGCAACCATCATATATTGGAGGACACGAGTGTTTAGAATTAAGAGATTACCAGTTAAATGGTTTAAATTGGCTTGCTCATTCTTGGTGCAAGTAAGTATATTTTAAATTTTCTATTTAATTTGAGGGGGTAAAAATATTACAAATAGAATGAAAATACAGTTCAGAAAATTTTCACTATGATTAAGGTCATTTAGCATTTAATATGTAAGCTTTTGCTTTTATTAGTAGTAGTACATATAAACAAACATTCTGCTGGATTTTGAGTTTAACATATTTGGTTACTACAGTAGTTAAATATACTTTCATTCAATTTGAAGTAAGGACGTATATAACATTTTGACCCAACACGGGGTTATTGTCTTAGTTATTTCTAATTCCCATTTTGTACTTCTTTCCTATCTTCTGTCACTTTGACACTATTGTGGAATGATAATCAAATATTGAGGATTCATTTAGGGTATAAAACACCCCCCCTCCTCCCCCAAAGTGTACTTAATCCTGATTTTCTTCCTTTTGAAAAAATTTTATTGGCGCTTACAGCTCTAATCCTGATTTTCTTACTTGCTCCATCTACAAACACTTATTTAATGTGATTGTATTCTTATCATTATACAAGGGGTTTCAAAAGTTCATGAAAAAAATGCCGTTAATAGATATTGGAACTTTTCCAAAAACTTTGAAGCTGCTCCATAATTGATTAAAGAAAAACTGTTGATCGTGTCGACCTTAAAAGAGTGGGGCTCATCTTAATTTTTCTTATGGTGGTTTATTAAATAAGTCGTTCTTTATATTGGGGCTTGTAATTTCATTTATAGTAATAAAGTGACATTGTGAATAATATACCAATCAGGGTAAGTGGTTTACTTGTACCTGTCTTATGTAAAAGGTTTTCTTTGTAAATTTGAATATATTGTATACATAATGTTTTTTCTCTTTGTAGAGGCAATAGTTGCATACTTGCAGATGAAATGGGTCTTGGAAAAACAATACAGACAATCTCATTTCTGAATTACTTGTTTCATGAGCATCAGTTATATGGACCTTTTCTGTTAGTAGTTCCACTCTCTACTCTGACTTCCTGGCAAAGGGAAATTCAGACATGGGCATCTCAAATGAATGCTGTGGTTTATTTAGGTGACATTAACAGCAGAAACATGGTAAGTTGTTTCTCTAAAAAGTTAGAAATTAGCTATATTTAAGCGAATATTTTTCAGTTTGTTTTCTTATGTCTTTAGTAATCATATTCGCTCATTAGACTTGCCACAAAGTCGGTAGAGGGTTAACTGTGCTTTTAACTGTCAATAACAAGAATTAGATTTAGTGTTACTTTTCATATGCAAGGAGCTTTCTACAAAAATTTCTTTTGTCTTTAATTTACATTTTCCATGAACTTTTTAATAGCTCCCCCTAAGTGTTGTAACCTTTAATGCAAAATTTCTAATATACATAAAAGCGAACAAGAGAGTATATAACTCCCATATATGTATCCCCAGGCATCCCAGTTTGTACCTCGTGACCAGCTTTGTTTTATCTGTAACTCTACACACTGTCCCACCTCTTGTTATTGTAAAACATAACCCAGCCATATTTCTTCAATAAATTACTATTAAATGCATTTGCACATTTGTTTCAATACAAAGGTCTTTTTCCATTGGAACCAAAGCCCGAGCGAAATCTACTGCCATCGAGTTGATTCCCAGTCATAGAGACCCTATAAGACCAGCGAGAACTGCCTCTGGGTTTCTAAGACTAAAATCTTCACAAGAGCAGAAAGTTCAGTCAAACTGCAGACCTTCAGCCCAGATTGTAACTATTTGTAACTGTGTGTGTGTGTGTGTGTGTGTGTGTGTGTGTGTGTGTGTGTGATTTTATTGTGTCAAACACGTACATTCATTGCCCATCATTCTCAAAACAGTTTGCTCTATACTTGAACCCCCTGCATCAGCTCCTCATTTTCCCCCGTCCCTCCCCGTTCCCCCTCCCTCATGAACCCTTGATAATTTATAAATTATTATTTTGTCATATCTTGCCCTGTCCGATGTCTCCCTTCACCCACTTTTCTGTTGTCCATCCCTCAGGGAAGAGGTCATTTGTAGATCCTTGTAATCGGTTCCCCCTTTCCACCCAAATCTCCCAGTATCATTCTCACCACTGGTCCTGAAGGGATCATCTGTCCTGGATTCCCTGTGTTTCCAGTTCCTATCTGTACCAATGTATGTCCTCTGGTCTAGCCAGATTTATAAGGAAGAATTGGGATCATGATAGTGGTTAGGGAGGAAGCATTTAGGAACTAGAGGAAAGTTGTATATTTCATCGTTGCTTCACTGCACCCTGACTGGGTTGTCTCCTCCCCGTGACACTCCTTTAAGGGGATGTGGGATGTCCAGTTGCCTTCAGATGGGTTTGGGTCCCCAATCTGTAGTCCCTCCTCATTCACAATGATTTGATTTTTTTTGTTGTTGTTGTTCTCTGATGCCTGATACCTACTTGATCCCTTCGACACCTAGTGAAAACACAGGCTGGTGTCCTTCTTCCATGTGGCTTTTGTTGCTTCCAAGTTAGATGGCTGCTTGTTTACCTTCAAGGCTTTAAGACGCTAGACACTATATCTTTTGTTGCCTGGCACCATCAGCTTTCTTCGCCACATTTGCTTATGCACCCACTTTGTCTTCAGTGAACATGTCGGGAAGGTGAGCATCACGGAATTCCAGTTTAATAGAACAAAGTATTCTTGCATTGAGGGAGTACTTGAGTGGAGGCCCAATGTTCATCTGCTACCTTAGTACTAAACATAAATATACATATAAATATGCATACATAGATCTATTTCCCCATCGTCATATATAAACATATGTACGTGCTTGTATTTAGATCTCTGTAAGTGACCTTTGCCTCCTAGTTCTTTCCTCTATTTCCTTTTACTTTCCTCTTGTCCCACTGTCATGCTCAGCCTTCATTTGGGTTTCATTAATTCCTCTCAGTTACATTACCCTTGATCAAGCACTACCAGGCCTCCTACACCCTCCTCACCACCGATTTTGAATCACTTGTTCCCTTGTCCTAGGGTTTGTTAACATCAATTCCTTTCCCCCCATCTCCCTCTCTTCTATGTCCCCCCGGAACCGTCGGTCCTGTTATTTTCTCCTCCAGATTGTTCATCCAGTCTATGTTATTTAGACAGACCTGTGAAGATAATAACATGCACAAAAACAAAACAGAACATAACAAAGCAACAAAAGAAAAGAAAACAACAGAAACCAATGACAAGCGCCTATAAATAGTTCAAGGACTTTGTTGGCCTTTAGGAATGTTTTCCAGTTGAGTCTGATGGGGTGTCACGCCCTGGTCCCAAAGTCTGTTTTTGGTGTTCCCTGGGGACTTCGTTACCCACGTGTATATTTTTATTTATAGAAAATTTTGATATGCTAAATAGTATTTGTCAGGACCTTTGGTGGTGTAGTGGGTTAGGAGTTGGGGTGCTAACCACAAAATCAGCAGTTCGAAACCAGCTGTTTGGGGGAGAAAGAAGAGGCTGTTTATTCCTGTAAAGATTTACAGTCTCAGAAACCTACAGGAACAGTTCTGCTCTGTCTTGTAGAGTCACTATTAGTAAAAATTGACTCGATGGCAGTGTGTTTGGTTTCTTTATTATAAATTATTTCTACTTTATGTTCTGTAAGATCAGCATAGCATGTAGATAGACTATATAAAGTATGAACTATTTCCTTATATACTATATACAAGGGGACTTCAGAGAAATCCTCATTTCTTTTAAGTCCAGTTTTCCCTCAAACTTTTTAAAGCCTCTTGTATGTTCTTAGTGTATATTAATGGATTATATTGTAATTATTTAAATAAGAGTATGTTTGCATTAAGGTTTGTCTTTCCAATGTTTTGATAGATAAGAACACATGAATGGATGCATCCTCAGACTAAAAGATTAAAATTTAATATATTGTTGACAACCTATGAAATTTTATTGAAGGACAAGGTATGTATTAACAAGGCTTTCTGTTTGGTGTGTGTATCGCTTTTCTTTTACTGTTTGAGCAGGATGATAGACAACTTAAAGGCCCTCAAACTATAGTCAGGGGCAAATACGTGTATTTACATGAACATTTCAGCCAAGAATGGTTTTTGCAATTTCAAATGGCTATATGAACAAACTAAAGTATATGTGACAGAGTACATGTACTGGCCTGCAAAACCTGAAATAAGTACCATCTAGCCCTTTATAGAAGTGTGCCAATTATTGACATAAATGAAACCATTAATATATTTTGTAACGAATTTCCTGTTGAGTTTGTGTGCTCTTTAGAACTCATGGTCATGCCTGTTACTATTATGCAGAACACTGCTAAATGAGTTTACAGCTATTGTCCCATTTAATTCTCCCATTCACTTTGAGATATTTGCTGTCCCTACTTTATGAAAAAAAAATCAAGCTCAGAGAGGTTAATGAACTTGCCTAAGGTTAAGAGCTATTAAAACAGGAATGTCTATCTTAAGTTAGATTCATGTTTATGGAGGCTCATAATCCAATAAAAGTTTTTAAAAGCACATTGTACCTACACTTATGGAGTAAGATGCCCTGTATATATTTTCTCTAAATTGAAATTAATAGACACCTCTACTTGGATTAAGCTAAAAATCTATTTAGTTTTGACTATTGTCTTTTCCATTTTATTATCAATGTATAATTTAATAAAAGATATAGGACATCTTCTCTAGCTTTTAGGAATATTTTGTATGTTATTTTACTGTGATTTATGATTCTAATTGTTAAATAAGAAGTTTATATTTACAAATTAAACAAAAATAATTTTTTTCACTTTAAGCTGATTTTAGAATGACTTGTATTTTGCCTGCATAATAAGGGTATTGTTTTTTTGAAAGATATTAACTGTATTTTTATTTCAAGGCATTCCTTGGAGGTTTCAACTGGGCATTTATAGGTGTAGATGAAGCACATCGATTAAAGAATGATGACTCCCTTTTATATAAGACTTTAATAGATTTTAAGTCCAACCACCGTCTCCTTATCACTGGAACACCTCTACAAAACTCTCTGAAAGAGCTCTGGTCTTTGCTACATTTCATTATGCCCGAAAAGTAAGAAGAATTTTGAGATACATAATATTAGTGAATTTCATATGCTCATTTTAGATAGTAAGGTTTTATTGCTCTAAAATTGGATCACAGATTGTGGAAAAAGGGATGGGATCTTTCATATTTAATAATTTTCAGTTTTCCAATTTTATGAATCCAAACCCACTGCCATCAAGTGAGTTTCTATTCATAGGACCCCATACAACAAATTAGAATCTCTCCTAGGGTTTCCAAGTTTGTAAATTTTAGCAGCAGACTGTTGAATCTTTCTCCTGCAGAGTGAGCAACCAGTGGGTTTGAATCACTGACCTTTTGATTAGCAGCCAATCACTTTTCAAACATTGGGCTCCTTAATTTTATGAATATGCTATGTGTGGCCCATGCCAAAAATGCTTTTTATAGTGTGAAACAGTATTTCAGAGCAGTAACAATAACAAGGTACCGGTAATCTCATTTTCTAAATGAGAAATGCTGGAATAGACAAGGTTAGATAACTTGTACAAGATTAGGTCAGTTATATTTTCTCTTTTAATACATTCAGAACTTTTAAACTTTGTTGTAGAAAAGTATTTTAATGGTAATTCCATCTTTATCTCAAAGACAACTTTTATTTTTTAAATTGCTTTTTTCCCCATGAACTTTTAAAAGTTTCTTTGTATCTCATCAATTTCTTAGGAGAGTATAGAAAGTACAGAACTAGAATTTACTTGAAAGTACAGAATTTACTAGAATTTACTAGAAAGTACAGAACTAGAATTTCCCCTTTAGAAATCTGTATTTTGTTAACATGTGACTTACCTGACCTCCTTTTTATCCTGTTGAGAGAGTGAGATTCACTCAAAAGTTCTTTGGATGGCATTTTGCTAGTTTCCTATTCACATGTACTCAGATTTGTGGAAGAGGAAAGACATAGTAGTTGTCCTTGGATGCTCAGTAAATAAGCAGGGGCAGTTGAGAGACATCCATGTTAGTGGCATGTGAATGAAGTGGTTCTCAAAGGATACATACGATTAAATTGTTTTAATAATTTCATGGGCTGGCAGGAAAGTGGAAACCTTTAGGCTTGAAGTTGAGTAGTGTGCTTGCTAGCTGATCAGTGAATAAGGGAGCTCAATGAATGAGAGGCCTATCTGGGGAAAATTCAGAGTTAGGCTTGAGGATCCAGTGAATTTCGGTACAGAATATTTTAGGCCTTGTAAAAAAAATGACTGACTTGAAAAGCTTTATTCAGCAGTTAACTCTTCAGTGCTTCTCTTGCATTTTAAAGGTTTTCTTCCTGGGAAGATTTTGAAGAAGAGCATGGTAAAGGGAGAGAATATGGTTATGCCAGTCTTCACAAGGAGCTTGAACCATTCCTGTTACGCAGAGTGAAGAAAGATGTGGAAAAATCTCTTCCTGCAAAGGTTGAACAGATTTTAAGAATGGAAATGAGTGCTTTACAGAAACAATATTACAAGTAAGCTGTACAATGAGCGTGTTCAGAATATTTAATACTAAATCTCGTTATTCCCTCTGCCTTATAAGCTAAGCCATTCCTTAGGGTCTTAGGAAATTAACAATAAGTTGAATGTGGAACAAGTTTACTCTTGCCCATTTCTCTTGTTTTCCTTATGATTTATTTTGAAAAAGGAAACTGCTCCTGTATTCTTTATAAATAGGTAGATAGATCCCAGATGCTTTTAAAGATTTAGATTTAGTCCTGACTGCCCCTTATGTCATTGATCATTTTCCTTGTTTGGTAGTACCATTTTGCTTCCTATTCTGGTTTTAAGGAAATGCTAGGTAAATTTTGGTCAAAAAGCAAATTATGGAAGGATAAATGCATTAGGTGGTTGGCTCTTTCAAGTTTGTCCAATACTGATCTTGTAAAAAGGAAGCAACCAGGATGGTAGAAAACAGGTTATTATGGTCATCAGAAGAGTTAAGAGGTTTTCTGTTTTGTTATTTTAAATTAATCATTTTCCTGGCAATCCATCATTCAGGTGTATTAATAAGCACACTTATAATTTGAAATAATAAAATACTGCTAAAATAATTGCCCTAAGTTGTGCATGCATTGTGTAATTGTAATTTAAAAATGGCAGTGGCTAACCCAGGCATCCTCATGAGATTTCTTTTTGGTGTGTGCAACTTTTAATTAGCAATATAACACATGAAATTTGTGATTCTGGAGTAAAAACGTTAAGCTAGATAATACAATTGACCATCTTTTAAGAATTTTTTTGAGGAGAAAAGGATTAATACTGCATATCCTAATACAGTACTCACTATGTGTTATATCACCCTTTTACTATGTAAAATCATGCTTCAGCTAACAAATTGCGACATAGCGACCTAATAAAGGAGTCCTGGTAGCTCCGTGGCTAAGCTTTGGGCTGTTAAACAAAAGGGTCACCAGTTGGAACCCACCAGCAGCTTTGCAAAAGAAAAATGTGGCATCTGTTTCCATGAAGACTTTTGTAGCTTTGGAAGTAATAGGAGGTGGTTCAACTCTGTCCTCATAAAGTCTTTGTGAGTTAGAATTGACTTGATTGCTATGGGTTGATTTTGTATTAGTCTAATTAATTCATTTTTCCATTGTATATTAAGAATTTGAAAGTGATAATTTTGCTTTAATGTTAGGTTGCTTTTTATGATTTTAGGATTCAATTTTGTTTTGTTAAACATTATTTTCATGGCTTTTGTTTGTTTGTTTTGCTTTTTTTAAAGATGGATTTTAACTAGAAATTACAAAGCCCTCAGTAAAGGTTCCAAAGGCAGTACCTCAGGCTTTTTGAACATTATGATGGAGCTAAAGAAATGTTGTAACCATTGCTACCTCATTAAACCACCAGATAATAACGAATTCTATAATAAACAGGAGGCCTTACAAGTAAGACATTTAAAATATTGTTGTTGTGTTATAAAGAATTCTGGAAACACTATCATAATAAAAATGACAACTCAATGTTTTATTTGGAAGTTAATCTTGGGCTTTATTTTTAAAAGCTTTTATAATTGTAACTTACCAAAGTACGTTTGATCAGAGTTTTTTTGTTTTGTTTTAAATCTTTTGCAAAAAAAAAAATTCTCCCTGTACTCTTTGTGGAGTTGAAAGGCAATATTGTAATTATGTGTAACTAATAGTGATAATCCTGAACTTATGGTATGGCAAATGGTGTTAGTTAAGGATACATTAACTTCACATTTCATCCTCTCTAGTTCTAGAAGACAGATTTGGAAAGGGAAGACACAACCACCATCCAGCTATGTAGTGTATTAAAGTTGCTGGGTAGTGCCTGGTACTTGTAAATTAGAGTAATTGTGTACTCTGTAAAGTTTTGTTGCTACGTCTTCCAATGTATTTGTTTTTCAACTTGAGATTTTTAGAAGAAATTATCATGTTAAAGTGAAGTGGAATACTTCTTTCCACCCGAAAATACAACAAAAACATGGATGCTAAATGGCAAGGATACTGTTAGTTTAAGTTATAGAGTAAAGTAATAGAAAACCTGGAAAATAAACTGTTTTCCAATATCATTGGATTTCAGAAATCTCAATTTAAAATAGTTAAAGTAATTGAAGGGTGCATCTAACACTTGTTTCATTTCATTGATTTTTTTTTTAACATATTACAACAGTTGTGATTTATTGTTTCCCTAGCACTTAATCCGTAGTAGTGGAAAATTGATTCTTCTCGACAAGCTGTTAATTCGCCTAAGAGAACGAGGCAATAGAGTTCTTATTTTTTCTCAAATGGTGCGGATGTTAGATATACTTGCAGAATATTTGAAGTATCGTCAATTCCCCTTTCAAGTAAGCATTTAATTTTGTCTTTGTTAGGATTTTGACATTAACCCTATTTTTCTTTTTAAAATTATGCTAGCTAAAAATTTCTGCTTGTTATTGTTTCCACTTTCTTGATTTTACATCTATAGCAAAGCAATTTTTATTTTAATTCTGTATTTCTCATCTATGCTTGCTTTAGATATTTCAAACTAGACTAAGGCACAATTTCAAAGAGCATCTTCAAAAAGTTTGTGGGAAACTCCCTTTTAATTCCGTGTTTCCCATGAACTTTTTGAACCCCCACATATCGGTAAAGAAAAGAGAGGGATGAAGAACCCTCCCGATCCCCCTTATCAAGCCTTAATACTCACAACAGAACAGTTCAGGTACGCTAAAAGATTGCACCAGCTTGTGGAAAACTAGCTATAAAAGTCTTATTTGTAATTAAAATGAAAATAACATGTTTCATAAGTACTATGAATCAGACTTTTCATTGAGTGCTTTACTATGTTCTCGCTTTAAACCAGCTATTTTGGAAAACTGAGGTACTACCATTAAGTCTAGTTTGCCTAGTGTCCCTAGGTGGAAACCGGCCGGAAGAGAAGTCAAATCATTTGCCTAAGACTCCCCAGGACTAAGACAGTCTAGCACATGCTGCTTGTTTGGAGCCCAGGCTGCTTTAAATCAGTGACTACTGTCTATCCGATTCAACTGGCAGACCCCTACTGGGCCTTTCTAGGGTTTCTGATTCCGTAGGTCTGGAGCTGGAATTTCCATCAAGTTCTCCGGTGACACTGGTGGCTGTTGGTCCAGTGGTAGCACTGGAGGAACACTGTACTCATCATTGTTTTATCAAACTGAGTTGTGACCTGTTTTTTTAAAATCAGTTTACTAACTGAAATAGCATTTTAAAAAATTAATTATAAAATACAGCATATTATACTACATCATAGCAACTTGTATCAAATTTATAAACAGGTATGTCTTCTAACATGTAAAACACATTTTACAGTGACTCTCAGGCAGAAAATTATGACAGCTAGTGATTTCCCTTAGCTTTTTCAATTTACGTAAATGTGGATGCTTTAATTAATAAGACTTTCTATAGACAGTTACCTAGTTCTGCTGCTGGTGGCTCTAAATACAGAATTTTATTATTTTCCAGCTCTGGGGGTTAAGCATATAAATCAGGGTCTTAGCGTTGTTCGATTCCTCTAGAAGCCTCTTTCCTAGTTCTGGAGACCGTTGACAGCCCTTGGCATTAATTTGTTTTTAGATGATCCTCACATGTTGTCTATTTGCTTCTATGTTTTTATAATTCAGAGGGTATAGGTTTAGAATTAGCCTCATACAGATAGGACTTGGACTGTATTACATGTAGAGTCATTGCATTACGGAAGAATCTGCTCTACCCAAGACCAACTGATTGAACCACATATTAGCAACTAGACTAATGGTAGCATAAACAGCCAGAAGGAACCACATGAGCTTAGCCAAGTTGAGTAGAATGACCTATCACAGCATTATTCACATTTCCTCTGAACATCTCGTTTTTTTTATTCCTACAGTGAGCCAAAATATTTGCCATTGGGAAGTAGTCTCACAGGTTAAATGTATAGACTCTTGACATGAGATGTCTTGAGTGTGGATCCTGGCATAATTTATTTTACTTAACTCATATACTTTTAATCAAAGGGTGCTGCATGGTCATACTCATTTCATAATAGCATTTAATTGACTGTTAATATGCATATTTTAATGTCTTTTGTTTTAGAGGTTGGATGGATCGATTAAAGGAGAGCTGAGAAAACAGGCTTTAGATCATTTTAATGCCGAAGGATCAGAGGTATGAATGCTTTCAAAATTGTCTTTTTAGTCATAATTGCAATGTGATTAAATAGAATCCTTTCTTTGTCAGCCAATTTTAATTTTAAAAAGATTTTAAAATTAGTATTCTCTGTTAAATATCTACCACTTGTTTGTCACTTTTCATACGGTGGTGGTTTGTGTGTTGCTATGATGCCATAAGCTATATCACTGGTGTTTCAAATAACAAGGCAGGGTCACCCAAAACCAAAGTGAACAGGTTTCATCAGTGCTTCCACATTAAGAACATACTACAAAGAAGGAATAGACTGCCCACTTGAGAGTAATTAGCCACTGAAATATTTTATAGACAGAATCAAAACATTGTCAGATACTGAAATCCATGGAAAGAAGCAGAAGAACATTGTCAGAAGTAGTGCCAGAAGATGAGCCCCTCACATTGGAAGGCACTCAATATGACTGAAGAGTGAGCCGTTTCAAAGTAGAGTCAACCAGAATGATGTGGATGGAGTTAAGCTTGGGGGGGAGTAAAGCAAGTGAGAAGAAACAGCTACAAACATCAAAAACATTCAGAACTTGGAACATACAAAGTAGGAACCTAGGAAAGTTGGAAGTTGTCAAAAATGAAATGGAATGCATAAAGATTGGCAATCTAGACATTAGTGAACTGAAAAAAAATTGGTATTGGCCATTTTGAATTGGGATGGGAGTCCCAGGACATTGCATTGTGCTCATAGGGAACCTGTGCATAGATCAAAAGGCATTTGTTCAAACAATACGGGCATCCTACATTATGAAAACCATGAATTATGTGCATCAGGTTTGTATGTTTTCTTCATACTTACTCAATCCGTATGCTGAACAAATTGAAGAAGTTGGATAATGAAGAATACAGCATCAGGATTGGGGCAAAGCTTATTGGCAAACGTGCTATATTCACAACCTTGCTTGCTGAGAGTGAGGACTTGAAGCACTTGCTGATGAAGATCAAGGATTGCAGCCTTCAGTGTGGATTTCAGTTTAATGTAAAGAAAATCTGCGTCCTCAAAAACTGGACCAGGAGGCAATATCATGGGACATAGAGAAAAGATTGAAGTAGTCAGTGATTTTGTTTTGCTTGGACACACAATCTGCTTATGGAATCATCCATCAGTCAAGCAATTAAAAGATGTGTTTCCTTGGTAAATCTGTATAAGGCCCTTTAAAAAGTGTTGTTAAACAAGGAAACTTTTGAGAACTGAGGTGTTCCTGACACGAACCAGGGTATTTTCATTTGCCTCAAATGCCTTTGAAAATTGAGCCTTGAATAAGGAAGATTGAAAAAGAATCGTTGCATTAAAATTATAGTGCTGGCAAATGTGTCCTGGAAGCAGTATAGCCAGAATGTTCCTTGGAGGCAAAGATGACTAGACTTTGTCTTATGTCAGGAGAGACCAGTCCCTGGGGAAGGACATCATACTTGGTAAAGTAGGGGGATAGGGGCAGTGAAAAAGAGGAAGACTTTCATCAAGGTGACACATTGGCTATATTGATGGCCTTAAACATAAAGAAAACCATGGTGAGGATGACACAGGACTAGACAGTGTTTAATTCTTTTGTACATCAGGTTGCTATGAGTCAGGACTTGATGGCAACGACAATGTTAAGATCAACAGATATAGTAGAGGCCCCATCCCAGTGATCTATCCTTGTTTCTCCAAAGTAACCACTGTACTGAATTTTCTCTTCCTATTCCCATGTTTATTAGAATCTCTTAATTTGAGTAGATTTAAATATCTTCTTACTTACCTTTTAAAATTGGCTTAATTTATAAATTACTTTCAAAATTCAGAAAACCAAACGTTAGGGTTGCCTCGTTTTATTGAACTTACAGTTCAGAAGAATCTAAAACTCTTAACCTATTTGTACTTCTTTATAGGATTTCTGCTTTTTGCTTTCCACAAGAGCTGGAGGTTTAGGGATTAATTTAGCCTCTGCTGACACTGTTGTGATATTTGATTCTGACTGGAATCCACAAAATGATCTTCAGGCACAGGCCAGAGCTCATCGAATTGGACAGAAGAAGCAGGTATTTTTCATTCCTCTTAATAAGTTCTTTTTAGAAGGTTCTGTTAATGTGTATTTTGTCCTTGTGCTTATAAGACAGCATAAAGTCTTAATTTATAGTTCACTTAAATATGGGGAAAATGAAAGTTTCTTATTTTTAAATAGTGTATATTTCAGTATGTATTAAAATAAGTTAGAGTTCAGAGAAGAGCAAGTGTGTATAAGAATAAAAATTAAATAGTAAGTTGTTTGTATAGAGTTAACATGCCAAGACAAATTACACACTATAAGGAAGTGTAAGGAAATATATTCTCACAAGTGAGCTAAGTATAATGTATTTGAATTATCAAAACAACCCTGTGTTGTGACATGGGAATGGGAATGTGATTAATTACACTGAACTGCTGCCTCATATATTAAAATTTTAAGACATGACCAGACATAACATTCCTTCTACTTAAAGACCTTGGTTACTATGTTCTCTAATAGCTGATAGAAAATCAGAGGCTAAATTAGGAAAAGAATTGGTAAGGGAAGACAGTATACACAGTTACATTGTAGATCTCTTGGGAAAATATATAAGGTTGTTAGTGTCAATTACAGATTTCTTTTTTTTTTTTTCAAGGCAAAAAATTTTTTTTTCCGCCAATCCTTTTTTTTTTAACATTTTATTAGGGGCTCATACAACTGTTATCCCAATCCATACACACATCAATTGTGTAAAGCGCATTTGTACATCGTTTCTCAAAACATTTTCTCTCCATTTAAACCCCCGACATTAGGTCCTCATTTTTCCCCTCCCTCCCCGCTCCCCCCTCCCACATGAGCCCTTGATAGTTTATAAATTGGTATTTTGTCATATCTTGCCCTGTCCGACGTCTCCCTTCATCCACTTTTTGGTTGTCTGTCCCCCAGGGAGGAGGTCACACACAGTTCCATGTAATCAGTTCCCTTTCCTACCCATTCTCCCTTTACCCTCCCTGTTTTGCCACTCACACCACTGGTCCTATATAGGGCTCATCCGTCCTGGATTCCCTGTATTTTCAGTTCCTATCAATTACAGATTTCTTACTGTGTTTGGAAACCTTTTGCAAATATGAAATATATTTTCATTATTCATAAGGTACTTTCTTTGTTTAGTATTAATGAAATATATGAAGGTTCCTGTGCTACTAACTCATAAGCTTGGCATTTCGAAACTACCAACTGCTCCATTGAACAAAGATAAAGCTTCATACTATCATGAAGATGTAGTTTCAGAAACCCAGAGGGGCAGTTTTCCTCTGTCCCATGAGGTTATTATTACAAATGAATTTGATATCATTAAAAGTTTTATTGGTGACACTGTACTGTACATATTTGGGAATGATGATAACCTGGTTATTTTCTGATTGACATTGTAGTTGCAATCCTAAAGAAATGTCTGTATTAAAACCTTGCAAAAAATGCATTTTTCGTCACGGTAGCAAACTTTATGCAGCAAACTAGGAGGCAGACCATAAATTATTGGGACGTGTCATGAAACCATAACACAAGACCAAGAGGAGGGAAGGGGGGAAGAAAAAAAAGAGGTGATGCTGAGGGCACAATAGAAAGTAAATGTCTAGAAGAGAATGAGGGCAATATATGTACAAACATGCCTGATTCAATTGATGTATGGATCGTGATAAGAGCCCCCAATAAAATGATTTAAAAATGAAAGGCCATGAAACAAAATCCCTTGAGGATTTTGTTTTCCATAAACAGTACATAAGTAGACCACAGCTTTTTGGGAGGAGTAGCATGTTTTAGTTTTATTTTGTTGTCAATAGTCAGTGTTAAGGAACTATAGGTTTGCAACCAAATTCTTCTTATTGCTCTTTATATTTTTTTTACAGGTGAACATTTATCGTTTAGTTACAAAGGGATCAGTTGAAGAGGATATTCTTGAGAGGGCCAAAAAAAAGATGGTTTTGGATCATCTTGTGATTCAGAGAATGGACACAACTGGGAAGACAGTGCTACACACAGGTTCTGCCCCTTCAAGGTAAGTGCTACAAAACATGTTAAGTTACAGAAACTCAATTTTATGAAATGTTTTATCACTGTAAACAGATTGTTAAAGTGCTGTATTTAGTATTAATTTTTTTTCAGTACTTGGTTATATATTTTATATGTTCTTTGGGGAAAAATCCCTTTAAAATTTAGGCTTCAAGTTTCTTAGTTTTAAAATAAGTATATTAATATACGTACTTCAACAGTTATAAAGGTGACAGACAGTAGGCCATTAGTTATAAGAGAATTTTGGAAAATGTTAATGTTTCTGCTAACATTAAGTTAAACGGTTTTTCTATTTTTAGTTCTACTCCTTTTAATAAGGAAGAGTTATCAGCCATTTTAAAATTTGGCGCTGAAGAACTTTTTAAGGAACCTGAAGGGGAAGAGAAAGAGCCTCAGGTAAAAAGAATATGCCTCAGTATACATACCACCTATTTGATAGGAATGGGACACGTATATTTAAAAATAAGATTTCTCTTCTAATTATAGGAAATGGACATAGAAGAAATCTTGAAGAGGGCGGAAACTCATGAAAATGAACCAGGCCCATTAACTGTGGGAGATGAATTACTTTCCCAGTTTAAGGTAGATTTAGAAATTTTTTAAATGATTATATACGCTTCAGAAATGAAATTTATCCATTTTAATTTTAAAGCATACTTAGCAAGATACATTAAAAACATATCTCTCAATGTTTATGTTTTAAGTTTTGTTAATATGTATAACTCTTTCCACCCCTTATGTTGACAGATAAGCAGTACCGTAAATGGGTAAGGACAGAATAGTTTATGAACATTTACATTAGTGTGAGACGAGGGTGCGTGGCCCAGTGACATATTCTCTCTGGTTTAGATCTTACTACTGAGCCTTCATCTGATTTTATTAAGATTAATTTCAACACTAAATTTAGCATTGTTCAAATGAAGATTTTTAAATAAACACCTAAATCATCAATGCATATACAGTATGTTCTAGATATTAGTTATAAATACCCTTGGTTTAGTCAGCACTGTTTTCACAGGATTCAACTGATTTCAGAGTACTTAAGTTGATGGGCATGTATTTATAGAAGCCAGTTCTGTATCCTAGCCATTGCTTGTAAGCTGGTGTCTTAAAGAAATCAGTTCATATTATTTGTTTCTTCAGTAGAATCCCTGCAACGAGACCTCACTCGGGAGCTTTCTGGTGACCATGTACTAATGCTGTGACCCTTTAATACAGTTCCTCATGTTGTACCCTCCCCCCATCATAAAATGATTTTTGTTGCTACTTCATAACTAATTTTGCTACTATTATGAATCTGCCAACGCCGCCACCACCACCACCCCCCAAAGGGGTCATGACCCACAGGTTGAGAACTGCTAATATATAAAGGAATAGAATTTAAGTAAGATAGACTGCAAGGCAATATTACTTGTCTCCGTTTTTGAAACTGACCCTGACTGGATGAGTCCAAAATAACAATTGTTTTCCTGTGAAGTTAATACTGTATCACTAACTCATGATGATCTCATTAGTTACAGAGTATAGAATAGTATTCCACAGTGTTTTCTTGGCTCTAATCTTAACTGAAACCCATCGTAATGTTTCCATTTGTGGGTTAAACCTCTAATCTTTTGGTCAGTGTACTAGACTCAAACTGTGCCACCTTGATAACTGTGCCCCTATTTATGTATGTTTAAGAGGTTAGAAAACTAATGTCGACTCTCTATCTCACTCACTCACTGCCGC